AATTCTATTGTACGAGAACCAATTGATTATTTGATTTTGGTTATTTCATTTGTGTTTATGTAAAACCTAGGTTTTTGGAATCTTTTGACAAACCCATTTCAAAACCTATGATCCAATATTTTTTGACTATCGAATACCATACTCTAGATATAGAGGTGGGATTTGATATTCATTTGTATCTGATTGTTAATGTTACCATAAAACTTGGCTGGACACGATTTAGTTAGTTATGGTAATTCCTCTTCATTTGGTTGGACATGATCAATATCGAATAGGGTTTCGTGAGAATATAAAATTATTGAGAAGTTCACACGTGATAAATCAGTTTGATATGTATGTTGTATATTTTTGTTTATTGGTCACAATGTTAGACACAATCTGTTTAGGAATCGGTATTGATGCTTTAACATTTGTTTGGTCCTGAACGCTAGACATAACTTTAGGCTTAATGTTCACTCTTGTATCAATCTTAATACATCCATATTGCTTTGGACACGAATGATATGGTTGAGACCTTCTTGGCGTTTGGACACGAGCGCTGACACGAGCGATACGTGATGGTATTGGGGAATAAATATATTGTGTATAACTAAATGATAGAAGGCATATTGTCGAGTTATGAAAAAAATCCTAGCATGTTCTCGCCCCTCTCCAAGATCTTTAATTTTTCGTTGTTTATTTCTTTTGCCTTTCGCTTTAAGTAAACTTTTACAAACAAGCTTAGAAATGCAGTAACGATTGAATGACGTCGATAACATTAATCCTTGTGGAGACGATAAAAGATACTTACTTAAGTTTTTTTTTTAGAGTCGCTTTACTACAACTGTCAATAATTTTTCATCATCAAAAAGAGGGAGATTGTTGGAACAAAATTGGTTTGTACCATACCCCTAAGGTTTTGATGATAACAAAGTATTTAAAGAACAATTGGGTATTCTAATATATGTTTAAGTGTGCAGGACCATAGACTAAAATTATGTACTGGCATTGAAAAATAAAATTTAAATAAAAGCTAAATGATCCAGAATATGAAAGATTTGAACCTGAGAGTCATATTCTTAAGACTCACACTCTGAAGAAGGTCAACTTTTGAAGACCAGAATCTGAAGAAAGTCAATCTCTAAAGATTCAGACTTTGAACCAGGTCAACACAAGGATCAAGAAGACTCTGAAATGTCACTATCAGACTCAGAGGTCATTTGGTCTTCTTTTGATCATGTGCATACCCAAACAAAAAATTTGCACAAAACAGCGTGGGTGCAACAAATAATTCCTTTTAATGCAAAGGGAATTCAAATTTCATGTCAACGACATTATTCATATCAAGAAACATCCCAACATCTCTAGTCAAGCTTCTCCAAGACTCTCTTGTGCAAGCCCTTTTCTTCAACGATTGTTTTCTATCTCTCTATATAAGGAGCTGAAGACTTGAAGAAAACAAAAACCAATATTTGACAATTAAAAGAGTTATTACTCTATCAAATCAAAAGCACAAGTTGAAGTTATAATTTCTTATCATTTATATATCTTAGAAATTATTAAGTCTTAAGAGTCTTTATGTGTCGTATTTTGGTTACACCTCTGATTGTATATCAAGTGTGATATCCAAACAATCTTTTATCTGATTAGGATAAATTGTTAGAAGTATATTGCTTGTGTGCTCGAGTATCTGAAATCTCTTACTTGTATGTTTGAGCATTGGAAGTATCTTGCTTATGTGATTGAGCATTGGGAGTCTCTTGCTTGTGTGATTGAGCATTGAAAGTCTATTGCTTGTGTGCTTGAGCATTTATAATCTTTTGATTATATTGAAATCCCTTGAAAGTGAAAGAGGACTCGATTACTCTCGTTTTGTGGGAGGAACTAGGATAAAATTTCTTATGTCTCTCTTTCTTTCTCTATATAACTCTGATCTTGTTTTATCTGCTGCAACAATTAACATTGTCTTAGATTCTAAACCTTGTGTTTAGAATCTAGTAAGAGTGTTTTACAAAAAGAAAGAAATAGCTAAACACAATTCAACCCCCATTCTTGTATTTTTATCACCTTCAGGTAGTACTTCGGTCCAGTGACTAGTAGGTCTTCGGTCCAGTGACGGGTTTGATACATAAATAACATACCTCTGATATTCAAGAGATTGATACCATATGCATATGAATATAATAGATAAACATTGCATACATAATTATCTATGTTATCTAATTGTGTGATTGTGATTTGATTGTGTATGATGATTATACTATCCTTGTTGTTTATACACCATTTAAATTATATAATGTATTCTCACCCCTTTCTTGTCTCTATGTTTCTACTTTTGTACTTTATACATGTAATCCCCGGGTTGAGACTAAGGAAGGATAGCTTTGGTTACTAAGGATGGCGTAGTTGGCATCTTCAATAGTTTGCTTTCTCTTATGTTTCACCGTATCTTTTATCGACTGTCTAGTTATGTATTCAGTGTCATTCTGATATTGTAACATCGGGTTAGGGATTTTGCTATGTCATTGAGTTGTTTTGAACAAACTACTTTGCTATGTTTTTTTATGATATGCTTTGACTTAAAATATGTATTTAAAATATCAATTGAAAGGCTTTTGTTAATGTGACACCCTTGCATTTATATTCATATTTTCCATAATATTTTATAATTTATACTTAGAATTTAGAGTGTTACATAAATCACTAATAAATTCTAAGAATGATATTTGGGCCATTTGTAAAATCATGCATAGTCCTCCGTATTTATTAATTGTTCAAGCCTCCCTCATTTACGTCATTAATGATATTTGAAATACAAGAAACTCTATCCTATTCCAGGATAAAGAGGTTAACCTGACTTCAGTTCTTTCTCTCATCATGACTCAAGTCAGGTTCTAAAACAAATCTCAATTTCAAAGCTTCATGGGATGCTTTTTCTGTTCTTAAAGCTTTCAGCATTCCTGTTCATCCTCCCAAAGCTTCCTTTGTTAAAGAAGTCATATGGTGTCCTCCATCCTTAGACTGACTTAAGTGTAATGTTGATTGGGCTTTCTCCTATCACCTAGTTTTTGCAGGTTGTAGGAATATTTTTAGATATCATTCAGGAGCTCCTGGTTTGACTTTTGCAGAGCCTCTTTATTGGAACAATTCTCTTTTGGGTAAATTTTCTACCCTGCTCAGGAGCATAAATATTACTAGAGAGAAAAGCTATAAATAATTATGGATGGAATCTGATTCCATTATTGTAGTCAAAGCCTTTTCACCAATTAATCATGATTTAGTTCCTTAGGAGTTGCGACCTAGATGGTTTGCTTGCATCAAAGCACTTTTTGATATATCTTTTATCATATCTTACATTTTTAGATAAGAAAATAATTGTGTGAATTATTTTGCTAATACAGACCGCACATCTGCAATCTTTATTTATTTTGATTCTTTACCTATTGATATTAAGCAAGATTATGTAAAAAAAAAAATAGTCTAGATTTAATTTTTTTAGATTTAAATTATTTTGAATGAGTTTCTGTATGGTCCCTCCACTCTTATTGGATAGCAATCTTTCTTTTCAATATATTTGACTTTTATTTAAAATGTTAATTGAGATTTTTTTATAATCATGTATTAGTTGGCTTAAATTGATATAAGTTATTGATATATGATTCGAGCTCTAACAATATTATTTATTTATATTTATAAAAAAATTAATTTAATAAATATTTATAATTAATCATAATTAAAATATTTTCCTTTTTTGTAATTATTCTAAGAACATCTTTAATAAAAGAAATTTTATATAATTAGGAAAGGAAAATCAAATATTTACTAATTATTATCATTTATTTAAAAAAATTCTATTCATGGACATGTGAGATTTATAATTAAAATAAAATATTTAATATATAAGATGTCGAATTGTTGAATTAGACCAAATGATAACTTATTAAATATTATTAAAGAGTTTCTCTAAAAAATTGATAAAATAAATATTTCCTATTCTTTGCAATTCTATTTACCTTGTATTTTATTCATCTCTTTTCTTACACAGTGATAATCATTCACAATCTCTTTCTAGAAAAAAAATGATTTTCCTTTTAATTTTGATTTTAATTTTTTATAAAAAATAGAACCCTCTATGTATTGAAATCAAATTTTAGGAATGTTCAATATTATGGAAATATTTTTCATTTCATTCTCAAAAGAAAATTCAAATCATTTTATGATTAATAAATAATTGATATTTTCAAATGATAAAAAATTTACATAAATATTAATATATATATATATATATATATATATATATATATATATATATATATATATATATATATATATATATATATATATATATATATATATATATATATATATATATATATATATATATATATATATATATATATATATATATATATATATATATATATATATATATATATATATATATATATATATATATATATATATATATATATATATATATATATATATATATATATATATATATATATATATATATAAAGTTTAATGGTTGTGTACTCAGTATAAAAAATATCACCATAACATTAATTCATAACATTAATTCATAATATTTTAAAGTGTAAAATTATATAAATAATTTAAAATTTACAATTTAACCGAATAAATAATTATCATATAATTTATTATCGATGTATCATCATTTTTCTTATTATTTTATTTATTAAATATTAAGTGTGAGAATACTTTTTAAATTTCTAGAAAGAAAAATACCAGTAACAACTAATAAACGTGAATAAAGCAAGGTGGCAAGGTTGCCACGTTAGAAATTTTAACAAACAAAAAAACTCAACAACACGCAACGCTCTTCCTTAATTTCTAAAACCCTTTCTCCATCAACACATGCATGTGACACATTTCAAAAGGTTTTAAAAAAAAAAACTAAAACCCATTCATCGCAAAAAAAAAATCTCTCTCATTTTTCTCACTTTTCTCTCTTTTTCATTTCCATTTGTTGTTCTTTGTTAATTGAACCATCCATAGCCATGGCGGCTATCCAAGAATCCCAGGCGGATCAACCGAAAACGGCGCCGGTGCCGTTGCCGTTGCAGTCTCAGTTGCCCCCGCCGTTGTTAGTCTCCGACGCGTTTGCCAAGGACGCCATTCTCGCATGGTATCGCGGCGAGTTTGCCGCTGCGAACGCGATCATCGACGCTCTCTGCGGTCATCTCGCGCAGGTCGCTTCTTCCTCCAACGATTACGACTTGGCGTTTGCCGCAATCCATCACAGGCGGCTCAACTGGATCCCTGTCCTCCAGATGCAGAAGTATCACTCCATTGCTGATGTCACTCTTGAACTGCGTAATGTTGCTGAGAAGAAAATCGAATCGGTTGATGGAAAAGCGAAAAGCCTAGATGAGAAGCCGGAAGTGAATGAGGAAGCTGTGGAAAACGTCGGAAATGACGGCGATGGTGCTCCGGCGGAGTATGATTCGCCGGACAGTGAGATCACTAATTCAGGTCATTATTTTAACTACATCGAACTTCTGTTTAATTATTATAATTAATATTCTTAATTCAAGCTCTAATTATCGATTTGTTATAATATTTTCCGATTACAATTCATTGTTAATTCAATTTTCAAGCTCGTGAGATAACTGTTATTGTTATTTAGTTTTCATTGTGGTTATTTATTTGAGATGAAAATGAATTGTTTTGTTAAGTCAGTTCAGTTGCGGTGGGACACCATTTGGAGAGCACTGTCTGCAACATTCTATTTATTTATCTTTAAATGGTGCTTTTTCGAACTACTTCAAAAAAATTACTACTATTAATTTAGATTTTGGTGTGATCATTACTTCTAGAGTCATGGCAAAGTTTTGTTATGAATGCTCTTGTCTGAAGCCAAATTTTGTTGTTCAACGTTTTGATTAATTTTATTTCCAAGACGCTTTAATTTGCTTCTAGAAAAAGCAAAAATCATTACAAAAGTTGTTTAGTTTAAAAGTATTAGTAAAGTAATTGCACGCATTTCATGAAAAATTAAAGTAATTGCACGCAGAAAATATAGTTGATAATTTAATTCCAATGCAGTTTTTGTATTTTTGTTGGTTATATTTGGCGTTATTTTACAGTTTAGTTGGAAGAGCAAACGTCTCGAGATGTGTACAAATGGTGTTATTACACCGACGGCGGAAGCAACAGAGTCTGACTCTGGTTGCACTGCATGATGGTTGATGCTAGTGTAGTTGACGTCACGTGATTCTATGTATTGCACCACGTGCGAGTTTGGATCTTGGTGAGTGTGTGGGTAGGTGGTAGTGTTGGGGTTTTGACAAATTTGGTGCTATTCCCTATGAGATTCAATTCAACAGGGTCAACTTTGTTCTGCTTGTGGTTTAATGGGTGATGGATCCAATGAATGGTTTAAAAAATGTTTGATAGTACGTAAGAAACAAAAACAAAAAACAAAAGAAATGTTTGTATGTATAGTGAATGGATTTTCATATTCATACAAAATGGGGGGACAGTTATTGTTGCTGCCATGTTACGTTTGTTTGTTGATGTGGCCTGCTCCTCAATTTGTCGCCATTACCTTCACAGTAGTGTGGGGGACATTGGTATTTTTTGTAAATCAAACTGGTTTTTGATAGACGGCAAATAATTTCTGAACAATCACACTGTAAAAAAACAAGTGTTAAAATGGTAAAATTTCAATTTAACATAGTAGTTACTTCTCAACGTGTAATGGTAATGGCTGTCCATTGGTTGGAATGATGAAATTTGCTTGGATTTTCTTTGGTATGTTGTGCAGGATCGCTAGAAGTGCAACACACTTTTATGATCAATAGTATATGTTCAAATCATGAAGAATGTGAAGGACGTCCTTCAGAGATAAAGTTGACACAAGGTTTCACAACAAAGGAATTCGTAAAGGGGCATCCGGCAAGTTCATTTGTTTACAAACTGAAATGCATTGTTTTTAATAAAGAAGCTAGGATTCAATGATCCGATATGAGTAGTTTTTTGTGATAGAGAAGCAGCTGGATATTGTTCATTGATGGATTATTGCAATTAGCAGGTGAATGCTGTGAAAGGATTGAGGTTGTATGAGAATGTTTTTTCTGAATCACAACTCTGCAAGCTGAATGATTTTGTGAAAGAGATCCATGCTGCTGGCCAGCACCGAGAACTTTCAGGTGAATTTTGCAGGTTTAATGTTTGGGATTTAGGACCTAAATAATGGACAGAACTTCTTTCAATTTATTTTATAAGTCAATTTAGTACATGCAATGTCAATTGTCAAGCACAATGTTATCCTTAACATTGAATTGAGGGTTTGTATTCTGTTGCCCACAAGACAAACTTCAAGATGATGATCAATGGAAACTTCTGTCTAATCTTTAACATACTAACAAAATATATTTGAATGAAATGCCAGGTGAAACTTTTATACTATTCAACAAACAGGTGAAGGGGAACAAGAGGGAGCTGATTCAGTTAGGTGTACCCATATTTGGACAGATAAAAGACAATGCCAAAAGTAAGAGCTCTGTAAATAAAATATTTGATAGTCTTCCAACAACTTACCATTAACAAAACTATGATTTGGTTTTTCTAATCACATATATTGCAAAATGAAATAACTCTAAATAATAAGAATATTATAAATTTCTGCTTTTTTTTTTTCTTCTTCTGTTATTGTATACAGGCGAAATTGAGCCAATTCCATCACTTCTTCATGGTGTCATTGATCACCTTATTCAGTGGCAATTGATTCCAGAGTACACAAGGCCAAATGGTTGCATTATCAACTTCTTTGAAGAGGTAAATTGTTCATGTTTCCTGCTTAGTCAAAACTCAGAAAGTTACTGTGATTAGTTTTGTGCAATGGAGTAACCATCTAGGAATGTTATAGTCAAAACTCAGAAAGTTACTCTGATTATTTTTTTCTCCAATGGAGTAACCATATGAATGTCTATACAATTTTGTATTTTGCAGAAAGTTACTGTGATTATTTTTTCCGCCAGTGGAGTAACCATCTAGGAATGTCTATACATTTTTGTAATTTGCAGGGGGAGTTTTCTCAGCCATTCTTGAAACCGCCACATTTGGAGCAGCCTCTATCTACCCTTCTTCTCTCTGAATCTACCATGGCTTTTGGGCGTATTCTTATGAGTGAAAATGATGGGAATTACAAAGGTCCACTCATGCTATCTTTGAAGCAAGGGTATGTATCAAAGAACTTCTACTCTTTTTAATCCTCGTATGCCATTAATTTTTAAGATACTAGTAACATTGTTTGAATAAAACAAAAACAGAATATCTACATCATTAGCGTTTTAGAGGATGGAAGTATGTGTCCGTAAAAACGCCCTCTTGGTTAGATTGCATATTCCTTTTTCATTTTACTTGAATAACACAGAAAATTGCAACACTTAAGGGAATAAAAACATATTGTTTTTGTCTAGTAAACATCAGTTGCTAGGTAGCAGCAATGACACTGACACCTGGTTTGAAATTCATTATTTGCACAAGGTCCAGTTAGAAGTCTCCACTCTGGTGGTGGAAAGCTTAATTTTTCTATAAATATTTTTTTTCTCATTTATGTCATGCTCATATTATGTTTTTAAAGAGGTTAAACTCTCCTTTCTCAGTAAGCATTAAGTTCCTCAAAATTAAAGTCTCAAAAGTTCTGAAATGTTCTCGGGGAATGTTAGATATGGGTATGATATGGTGATTTAACAAATGATTCCAACCCATTTTTGGAGGACCTATCAATAAACACTGATAGGATCGGCACCTTGGCACCTTAGCACCTTAGCACCTTAGTAACATTTCTTATGACAGTGGTGACAATTTTCCATTTCCAGCATTTAACACCAATCATTGTAGATATTGTTAAATACAGTTTCATTTTTTTCTTTTCTTTTGGCCCATAAAATTGGGTATATATTTTACATAGCATAACTAGTTAATGAAGTATCATGCAGGTCTCTTTTAGTGATGAGAGGAAACAGTGCTGACATGGCAAGGCATGTGATGTGTCCATCCCCTAACAAAAGGGTGAGTATCACCTTCTTTAGAGTGAGAGAAGGCTCTTATCAAGGCCAATCTACAAGCCCTCCAACGACGACATCCGCGATGACAGTTTGGCAACCTGGCCCTGCCAGCCCACTTGCTTTGCCAAATGGGGCGATAACTGGCCACCAGGCTATGGATATGATACCTAGATGGGGTATGTTTGGTCCTCCAATGGTCATGCTGACCCCTATGCACCCTATGACAATGAATCCCAGCAAACTTCCTCGAGGCGGGACTGGAGTTTTCTTGCCTTGGAAGGGGCATCCCAGGAAACATTCAAGGTATCTTCCACCTCGTGCCCATAAAGGACGGGTTATGGCATTACCTTCCCCGGTTGAATCACACAGGGAAGGATCTACTTCTGAACCCACCATTACTGTTGAAGCCTGAAGGATAGATATGATTTCAGACTCAGAGCAGCTTTGGATTTAAAGAAAATGGAGTCGAGAAAGGGGTTTCATGCATCATTTATGCGCTCTGGATTGTGGAGTAATTTATTTTGTTGTACAAACATTTCTTTACATTTTTCCTTGTAGTTACTTTTAGAAAACGTAGACTCTTTTAGTGTTTATGAATAGCTTATTGTGGGTTTTGATCAGCTTATAGGATTTGGAGAGGCTTAGCTTTCTAATTTTGCAAAATGTGAATTAATATCCGAGGTTGGAATTTTGTATGAATGGTTATTATATTTCTTTTTACACATCAAATCATCACTACAAGGATGTGTAGTTACAGTTTAAAGCGGTTATATTATATATGAAGGATTGGTCTGAAAAATATCGAAAACTTGAGAACCAAAGTTGCATATGTAAATGTTTACAGTGAAGGTTTTGATGCTTTTGCATATTTCTATAACTTTTGGTGTGTAATAAGAAGCATAAGTTCATGTCATGTCATTGTTAAAGTAAACACTCCAATGAAACATATTAGAACCGTATTATTGTGGTATCTGATGTTAATATAGGTGTCTAAATATCATTTCAGTAAAACAAATACTTTTCCATACAATAAGATGTTGAACAACGAGACAACTACATCTAAGAAATCTATAAATGTGAGTATAAAAAATGAAATGCTAAATTTCTGATACCAGAATCACACTTACATGAATATACCTCAAGCCTTGGTAAGCTCATCATCATCATCATCATCTTCAATATTCCAACTCAAGTCTTCTTCTTCCACGGCCGAACTCAACCGCTTCCGTATATCAATTTTGCTTGGACTACCACTCCCCACTGCCTTCTTTTCATCAAATCTATCAAGTTCCTCAATCTCATCCCACTCAAGATCTTTCTCCTCCACTTCCTCTCGCCCCTCCTTTCCATCGCCAACATTACTCTCCACTGTCATTTTCTTATCCGAATCAACTACAGAATCCTTAACATCATCAACTTGTCTTGCATCACCATCACCCTTCTCTTGAACAACCTCCAAATCCTCATCAACTTTTGATTCATCCTTCACCTTGTTTTCTGATAAACTATTTCGCTTTTCAACCTTAGACTCTTCCTCACCAGAATCATCTAATCCCTTAATTTCCACGACACCACTATCATCAAAATCCCCACCACCATCTCTCCCATTCTTCTCATCATTATCATCATCATCATCATCATCATCATGCTCATCATCATCATCATGCTCATCATCATCATGAACATCATGATCATCACGATCATCATCTTCAACATCCCAGCTCAACACTTCATCCTCTTCCCTCGACATTCGCTTCACAAGCCTAGCCCTAACATCCTCGGCTTTCTTAACCTTATAAAGCTTATAATAATACCTAAACCAAAAAGTTTCACTATCAACAACATTAGGAACCACCCTCTTATAAACACTCTCCATAGCCTCATTCTCTTTTAGAAACCCTTCCATTTCATCACTTTTCCCTTCCAACGAAAACTCCAATTTCCACTTATTATAACGCTCCAAATCAAACGGTTCTTCTATAAAAGTCTTAGCATCACCCTGAATCGCACGAACCTGAGAATCAAATCTATTATATAATTTCGAATTTGAACCACTCTGTTTCTTATTCTTACTGTTATTGCTGTTGTCTGAATCGGAATCGGAATCGAGGATCGCGTCTTTGCCATGAGATATAATCTGCGCAGTTCCTTTAATCACGGTATTCCCGAATCGATCGATGACGTGTCCCACCGTTTCAAGAGAGCCGTGAGCGACCTCTATCTCTTTCTTCAAACCGGTGCCGAATTCATGAAGATCGCGGCGGTAGATATCGATGACGGTTTCTGATTTTTGGCTGAGGGTTTTGATTAGGTTGCCAAGATTCTTCCACGCGGCGGAAGGACTGCGCGGCGCGCTTGGCGACTCGCGGTGGGGAGCATTGTTGGATTCGGGTGGTGAAGGGTTGGGGTCGTCGGAGAAAACGGATTTGAGGAAACTCATGAGAAATGGTGGAAAGAAGAGATTGGAAGAATAAGAAAATGGAAGGTTGTTATTATAGGAAAATGAGAAGAGTGTTGGTTAGGGAAACGATGAGGGTGAAGATTATGAGATTTCCGCAGGTATAGTCGATAATATAGAACTAATTTTGAAAGTACGCCAACAAATCTATGAGCAATGTTCGCGAAGAATCAATTTATTTTACACGTGCATATAGATTGTTAATGTATTTTTGTCTAACGTGTGAGGAAGGAATCTTAATATAATATAATATAACAAAATCAGATCTATCAGAAAATTTAATTTTGTCATTTTGTTCTAAAATCATATAGCTTCCTTTAAAAACACCTCTTTATTAATCTAAATATCTATTCTTTTCTAAATATCTCACAAACATCAATAGTCTTCAATTCTTTTTCAATTCTTTCTTTTCGTTCTCTAAATATTTTCTTTCTTTTTGTTCTCCAAAACATGCCAGTTACGAAACTTCAATTTCAACCCTTCTGCCTTCCTCACCTTTTCCAATTCTTTCTAATTTTACAACGGTTTCGCATTCTTTGCCGATAAGGATTTCAAGCTTGTAAGGATGGCGGTTCCTCTTAAAGATACTGAGAGCGAGAATTTGTTGGATTACCTTGAGGTTTGTATTGATTTCATTGATCAGAGTAGGAAGGAAGATGGCGTTTTGGTTCACTATTTTGGTGGTGTTTCTAGAAGGTTCCAATTCCAATCATCATTCTCCTCGCACTCCAATATCTTTTTTTCAATTTCAATTTTGTTGGTTTTACTAAAATTACTCTGTAAGAGTTTTACTTGTGTTTTTATATGCAATGCATCGGTTATTACTGCTTATTTGATGAGAAGCTAGAATCTGTCACTAGAAGGTGTGAAATGAAAACTAATAGTTTGTTTAGAGTCTCAGGGACTTCCCTTTTGGTAGTGGCTTTCTTTTTATTTTTAAAATGATTTTTAGTTTACTTAACCATACAATCATGAATGAATGTTCTAAAAGCTCTGCAACACCGACACCTCCGGGAAAAAGGTGTGTCTAGTCCGTGTCAGAAACTGACACCAACACCCGTGATTACGTTTAATTTTTATTATTTTTTCAAATTATTATCGATGTCGACGCGTCAGTGTCCTTGTCGTGTTTTTGGCGTCCGTGTTTCATAGTCTGAAAGTGCATGGTATTAGTCTCTTTTCAAAATTAACTCAGGTCACAAGACCTTGATTTTAGTATAATTTTTAGAAAAGTAAATTTGAAGAGCTCTGCATCTTAGACTTCAGCGTTTATTTTTCTGTGTTTTTATTTGATGTAGATGCACTTGAATCGTGAAGGTGAGCTGTGAATTTGTTTTCCCCAATGATGGTTTTCTAGAGCAGGTTTGTGTTATTAAGGTCACTATGTATGATGTAAATGTTGTTTATACTACTTTACAGTGAGAATTATGACATTCTGCATGTGTTTTTATTGAGGTCAGGGTATGAGGATTTATTATAGGTTTTGTGGTTGATAGTGAGGTTGTGAATTGAATTTTGCAGAGGTTCAAGATTCGCTTGATATGAATTTCGGTGGTATTTACGAGGTTCTGACGTAAGAAATTGGAAGAGGTTTTTTTGGTTATAAAAAGAAGAAAGTAGAAGATTTGATTACCCGTATTATCATTGATGTACTGTCGAAACATTGAACGTCAAATTCACGGTAATCCCTTTTTTTATATTTAAACCCTAATTTATTTCTTATTCTAATTGTTTATGTTTGATTGTGTTTATAGATTTCAGTTATGTATATAGTTGATGTGAGGTAATGGGGAATTTGATGAATGTTATTAGCTTCAGAAAGATGCAGAAGTATATATCATAACATATTTGAATTACACCTATGACTATTGAGTTTAGCTGAGTCTGTAATCTTTGTTGTGTGTTTGTGACTAAAAGTATGTCATTGTAACAGTTTATTATGAAGACTAACTGATCAGTGTATATCACCAAACCCACTGTCAATTGTTTCTTTATAAAGTTGCATATTTTGGCCTTGCAGGAGAAGAATTGGTGACCAAAATGATGACTGCAATCACCGTAACTTACTGATGGATGGCACCAGAGGTATGCCGTCTTTTTTGGGGCATGATTTTATTGTTTCATTGATAACTATCCGAAAATGTGAATCAAAGGTTCCAATCACTGACAATTTTCGTTGCTTATCATCATTTAGAAAGTTCTCTTATGATAACTTGCATTTTCGTAGTTGTACAACACGATAACGTAACGTCAACGAGATAAAAAGAACTATAATATGAATGTCCATGTGTATAGGTTTGGCATTGTTTTATGGAAGCTACTAACAGATCACATGCCTTTTGAAGGAATGTCCAATTAACAGGCTACTTATGTCGCTGTTTTCAACTACTAAATTTGAAATTACCGAGTGATTTTTCATCAATCATCTGATTTTTCATAACTACTTTTCTACACATTTGCAAACTTTCATCAATCAGCTGATAGGTGAGCTCTTAAATGGCCTTACATTTCAATTATTCTGATTTAGGACTTTTAGTTATTCAAATTTAGCGTCTGTTTATTACAAGTTAGTCAAAAAAGTGATTTCTATAGTAGTCTTATATTCCCCAGCTTTTGGGCATTTGAAAAAACTATGGCAAAATCGAAATCATCTTCTGTTCTTATATTGTGGTGTGCAGGCAGGTGGAATTCTCAGTATCTCTTTTTTTGGTGCAGTTGTTCTGGCCGTAGCAGTAAGTTTCTCTCTACTTCGAGTTTTTAAATAAGCTGAGCTGTTGATGGTGGTTTGTATAGCACAATGTAAATTCTTATATGTGCTCCTTTGTTGCTGATTGTTGGAAATTTTATGTTTCTTCTTCTTCTTTGTTGACTAAAATCCCTAACACGATTGGAATTTGAAACTAAACTGAACGATACAAGTGATAAACTGATTGTTCATTATAGGATTAAGTGTATTGTTATTAGCATGTAGATTATCTTATATGTGACCGAAACGCTTTTGTCATAAAAAATCAGGAAGATGGTAAGAAACTTTTGGTTTGAACACATTTAGTAAAGGAAATACTATACTTTTTACGTGTATAAGAATTAGGAAGAAAATTATTTTCTTCATGGTTTGACCCATTTGCTAAAGTATAACTGATTTGTATTCGTGTGTGGGGAGGAAAATTGAAAGATGTGCATACAGTTCACATGCTTAATGCTACATTCTGCAATCTGCAATATGTTTATATATGTTGCACCACTGATTCATAGGTCTCTCTTTTATAATGATTCTCTAGAGATTATCTCATGTGTAAGAAAATAAATAATTTACAGAGAATCAAGACAAATGTGATTGGCACTCTGAACATGCTCGGGCTTGTAAAACGAGTAGGATCAAGGTTAGGAATTTTTCCTGGGAATAAAATTTATAACTTCAGCTTACACCATCCGCTGGTCTTTGTTCTGTTTTTCTTGGTTTAGTCTGAGTTCTTATTTTATTGGCAGGATTTTGCTTACATCAACTTCAGAGGCATATTGGGATCCTCTTGAGAATCCTCAACCTGAAACCTATTGGGGAAATGTTAACCCTATTGGTACGTGTTTTTATGTCATTCTAACATGTATTTGGCCTTAAATGAAATTATATCAGTTGTTATGGTTTAGACAGATAATTGTACAAAATAAACCTTGAAGTTCTGTTATATTTAACTTGTATAAAATATAAATAGCTTATTGTTTGATTATTCTTTATATTGACATATGAAAATTAGTTATTGACTTAAGAAGCTAATATGAGAATGTAGCTTAACTAAGAAATTAATTTTTTCCAAAACAGGAGTTTGTAGTTGCTATGATGAGGGGAAATGTGTGGCTGAGACTTTGTTGTTTGATTATCATAGACAACATGGAATAGGTGATTCCCGATCTTCCATTCCTCTTAATTTCATCTCATTCTCTGTAAGGTGTAGCCTGTAGATATCTTCCTTAATAACTTAATAGAGCTTATATTGTTTCCAACATGGAAATATGTGTTGTAAGAATCTTCAACACATATGGGCCGTGCATGAATATTGATGATGGACGTTGTGATACGGTGGGAGAACTGACTTGAGGTTTTACGTTTGTGTTCGCAAATGTTTCGGTTTAGCAAGAGTCGCCACCGACTTTTTATTTATCCAAAGAAAAGGTCAAAAAGCACAGGAAAGACCTTTGAGATGTTTTCTTGGGTTCAAGGGGTAGATTATGAAAAGGGAATGTGCTAGCACCCTTTTCATCCATGGTTTTCCATGGGCTCTTAGTTACTTGTTTTAGATCACTTGCTTTTGCTTTTCAATTGTTTGAAATGGTGCTTTTGTGTGTGGTTTTGAAAGTATTTTGAAAAGAGGCCATCATTGTGGCAACCTTTGTAATGATTCTTGTTTGAATGTATACAAAGGTGTATTGTCTTTTGAAAAATGTTTCAATGTTTGAAAGTTTATTTTGGGAAATGTTTTGAAATTGTATTGTGATGTGTGTTTGAAAATAGAAAGGATGTTTGCAAGTTTGATCAAGTAACTAGGAGCATCTACCTACCTACTCCAAGATCTTTCCTATACATTTTTAACCCTTTCACATTGTTGTTTTACCATTGCATTTGGTAAACAACCTTGTGTTTGGATGTTAAACGGGACAGGCGCGGGTCATCGTATTGACCATGATAACAATGTTTCCAAGTATCTTAGCAAGTTTTTGTGAGGGACTAGATCATTTGTGTATAGGCAACCAAGATAACGTCATCGAGGGACTATGATCTTTTGTTTTGTTTTTGTTTTGCCAAGATACCTAGCATGCATACCATGGCCATTTTAAAGGCAACAAGTGGATGAAACCCTAGGGGTACTTGTGTGCATTGTGTTGTCATTTTCATGCATTTTTGTCTTGTGTTAGGTCAAGCTATTTGTTGATTTTGGATTTTTGCATACAAACCCTAATCTTTCTATCATGGCATATTTGAAAGC